TCCAGACAAATGGTGTGAAATTCCAGGCTCCTTCCAAGACAGAGCTGCGCAAGAATAGACCCGTGAGAAATCCAGCCGGTCAGAAAAAAGAGATATGCTCCAGTTCGGGAGAACTATCTGATGGTAGCAGAGAAACTCCGCTTGCTGTTGGGGTGAGTGACAACTACAACGAAGCATATTGAAAGAAATAAGATGGATCCTCCATTTCAGCAGCTTAAGAGCATTAATAGCCCGGCATAGATGCAAGAGAACATCCAACTTTGCATGCGTTCCATGATGTTGATGAAGTTTTCAAGTTTCATATAAATTACAGTGTTTGCCAAGTTACATGACAAGCCTGCGCATTTATAATAAAGGGAGGGAAGAAGAAGAGAATGGTGCAAGAGAGGGTCCGAGTCAGAAGAACTCCAACGGGGTCCGGGAACAAATGGAGCTGAGCTAACCTGCCAACTGGTTTCTGGAAGTCCAGATATCTGCATTCGATAGATTGTCCGCCGCGGGCGTGGGGCGCTCGAGCGGTCCGACGGTCCAGAGAATGTTTCTTTGTGGCGGGGTCCACGGGCAAATTGGACAGTGAGACGTTCACCCTTGAAGTCCGTACCATCTACAAGCCAGGGTGGTCAAAAAAGGAAGCCCCTGTCAGTAAGTTAAGGAAACTCAAAAGAATCACAAACATACGGAAAGCTATAGAGAACGGCATTGAATTAGTCTTTTGAAGTTATTCAAAGAATTAGAAGGAAGGAAGAGGATGCACGCAATGAACGCCAAATCCCGTTACGTACCTGGTACTACGTCCTTTGCATCCATAGCATCCTCATATTCGATAAACCCAAAGCCGCTCATGAGCTTTATTTCCGTAATCTTGCCGGAGCCGTGGTGGGAATTGAAATGATCTTCGATCTCCTGCTTGGTGACTGGAAAAACAAAGTCCAGGCCAAAATTGGCGCCTTTGAGTCAGCTTTTCGAGGCTAAACCATCCAGTAAAGAGAAAGCCAGTAGTGTAATCCACGGGAGTGGAATATAACTGAATTTCTTCTCCTTTTGAGGAGTGGACTTTTTGAATATTCTTGGCATATCCTCTACTTTTCACATCGTGTCACATGTGGTAGTCACAGTCCTCCACAAACAAGGATAATCCAGAAATCCCAAGGGAACACGAGGTTGTCCTACTGTTGGGTATCTGAATATATATAGTGTGTCTTTGTGTGTGCCAGCGCCATACAGTGGATTTTGGGTGTGCTTAAGTATCAAGGAGGATGTAGCAGTAGTAAGACCAGCATACCGTTGCGGGGCAGATTCCCGAGATAAAGACGTGTGGACGACACTTCAGTCATGACGGGCAGTTGGTGTGATGGTGTATCTTAAGAACACAGTTATCGCAGATGAGAAGAAAAGAAGGTAAAGAGGAATCCTGTAAAAGGCGTGGTGTGATTTTTTGAATGTTGTTGTGTGTTAAATCCCCTGGATAATTAACAGCGAAGAGAAGACAACAACGAGAGAACGTGGACGACGAAGCCGGGGGGTTTTTTACTGGAGTGGTCCTCTCCAGATTACCAACGCGGTTTTCGGCAGCCTGGTCAGCCTTATGCAAAACGGTTCGAGGTGGGAATTATCCTTTCCAGAAATGAAGACGTCAGTACAGCCAAGCGCTTCAGAAAGATAGACGCTGATTGATGGTTGGAAAAGAACGATGAGTTGGTTGATGTTTGGGAACGAGGCTGCAAAAGGCGGTCAAACGGCAGAATCTGACGCTGGTTGCCTCACTTTTCACCACAAGGCATGTAGATGTATGTACGGTACATGCCTTGCCCGTGTTCGGTGGGGTTTTACGACCTTGCGGGGAGATGCCGAGATTTGAAAAAGGAAAAAAAAATATTTCCGTTGAAAGAGACTGTCTTGTTCTGATTCAGTCTAAACGGATCTTTGTAGAAAATAACAACGCGGTTGACATTTTGTCTCGACCTTCTTTCTCCTGCCGTTGATGAGTTCGGATGCAAGGCTAAATTCATCTCCATAATATAACAGTATGTATGTACAAACTACACAGTAATACATTTTGGGTAATGGTTGGCTAAGGAGACATGAAACGCGGAATGGGAATAATAATTTACACATAACCAACAAGCAAGTCCTCTATCGAGAATGTGATGACCATTGCATACAGTTTTGAATCAGAAATGGACAAGAAAAAGTAACCATATGAACCGGAAAAGAAATGTGGTTTCCTAGGTTAGATAATATTTAGGGCCCTCCCCACCTTGAGGGGTCTGCCAGTTGATGTCCTGAGTCGGGACCTTGATATCGCAGGTTTTGCAATGGATACAGCTGGAAAAACGAGGGTTAATTGTCCGTGACCGCCATCAATAAACTACAGGGCATAGTAGAGACCGGGAGAGCTGTTGTAAGACTTACTTTTGCGCATTTATTTGGAAGCGCACACCCAACTTTTTACTTGGATCCTCAACGTACTCATAGACTCCGGCGGGGCAAAACCTATTCTCGACCCCTTGATATTTGGGATAACATTCCTCCGTGTGCTTGTCCCAGTCCTTAACTTGAAGATGTACCGGTTGGTCTTCCTCGTGGTTTGTGCCTGTGCGGCTAACGCTTGTTAGGATGTCGAAACTGATAACCCCATCAGGTTTGGGATACTCGATCTTCTCGCACTCGGAGGCAGTCCTGGTGGCATCGTGATCTGTAGTATGGTGCTTCAGGGTCCAGGGTGTCTTGCCACGGAAAATATATGCTTCTAGGCCGGAGTACATAATGCCGCCGTAAATACCCAAGGGAGTTCCGAATGAAGGGCGCATGTTCCGTACCTCCTTGAGTTCTTTCCAGATGGAGGATTTTCGGAGTCCGTCTTCATAGTCGTATAGGAATACGCTTCCATTGTTTGGGTTAGAAAGGGCAGAATATGCTGCCTCGGCAGCTAGCATACCAGACCGCATAGCAGTGTGTGTGCCCTTGACTTTAGGAACATTCACAAACCCTGCACTATCTCCAATCAACGCCCCACCCGGGAAAGCGCATTTCGGTATGGACTGGAAACCTCCTTCAACAAGCGCACGAGCTCCGTAGGATATGCATTTTCCGCCCTCCAGAGTCGGCTTGATAAGGGGATGGTGTTTGAATTTCTGAAATTCCCCATACGGCGATAACCACGGGTTGGGGTAATCGAGGCCAACAACCAACCCGAGAGTAACCATGTTATCACCAAAATGATACAGGAACGATCCTCCATATGCATCTTTCGGCAATGGATAGCCCATTGTATGGAGGATTTCTCCTTTCTTGAACTTTTCCGGCTGAATCTCCCAAACTTCCTTGACGCCCAGTCCATAGGTTTGAGGCTGGCTATCTCGTCTCAGGTCAAATTTCTTTATGACCTGCTTTGTTAAGCTTCCATGGCATCCTTCACCAAGCAGCGTGACTCTGGCATGGAACTCCATTCCTCGTTCGAAGGAATCCTTAGGCTTCCCATTACGCCCAATGCCGAGATCATTGGTAGCAACACCCTTGACAGATCCATCCTTCTCGTATAGCACCTCGCTTGCGGCGAACCCGGGGTATAACTCAACTCCAATCTCTTCTGCGCGTTCTCCCAGCCACTTGCATAACTGGCTTAAACTGATAATATAATTGCCATGGTTATTCATCTGAGGCGGACATGGGATTGGGATAGCATATTTGCTCGTAAGGAAGCGCATGCTATCGGATTTAGCAGGTGTGGCATGTTCGAATCTCGATGGGTTGTCCTCCGATAGCCAATCGGGAAATAGTTCGTTCATCGCACTGGGTTCTAAAACATTGCCTGATAGTATATGATCCCCAATCTCGCCCGATTTTTCCAAAAGTATCACCCGGAAATTTTCACTGCCCGCTTCATTTGCAATTTTCTTCAACTGGATAGCTGCGGCGAGGCCCGCAGGGCCTGTTTTCCACACACAACAATGTGTGGTTAGCTTTCAGCTATTCGAAACACAGGACACCAAAAAAAAAAAAAAAGAAAAAAAAAAAAAGGTAGAGTACGGGTAGGGGAATAAAACCGTACCGCCTCCAACAATGCAGACATCGACACTGTCCGATTCCCGTTCAATCTGGGAAGGATCAAAGCTCTCTGACTCGTCCGCAAATCGCCGCTGGACTGTGCTTGAAAAGTTCCGTTTCTGGCTTAAACCGACATTTTGCGCTGGGAATTGCCGTTGATGGACTATTCGCCGCCGGCTTGATGCGACGAGTGCTGTGGGTGTGCGGGTGGAATAAGCACACGCGAGAGTTTTCAGCACACCAGCTCTCCAGCGGGGGGGGATAGGAACAAGTTCCCGCCTCAAGAGAGGTAACCAGGTGGTCTGTGAAGGCATTGTGCGTTGTCTTCAAGCAACAGGAGTTCAACAGACCACCTCCAGGTATAAATTATAAATGGACAAAAATAGTGGAAATTGCGGGTTGATTTCGCCGGGCCGGGGTTTTAACCAAACATTCATTGGAATATCGCCGCCAGGCCGTGAACAGCCGAACTGTCTCCATCAGCCAATGGGAAGGCGGCAGATGGAAATCAGGGAACTTCAGTATCCCACTTTCGACGCGCGGGATCCAGCACTTGGCCGCTGTCCGGCTAAGCACAACGTGTCATTTGATGAGAATAATAATATGATACGAGTAGAATAGTCTTGTAATTCCCAATTGGTGCAATGGCAAAGCAGTTGGTTGGAGGCTGCGTTCAAGATCTCTGTCGAGGTACAGAGTACGGAGGAGCACCTTTATAATAAAGTACTAACTCCAACAATCTACGGCCAATCATCTGGGCGCTTGGTTTAGTGGTATAATATGTCATTCGCATTGACGGGGTCGCCGGTTCGATTCCGGCAGCGTCCATTTCTTTTTCGTTTTTTTAACGAAGCCTTCAAGACGGACATCTGTACTCGACTCGAGCCAGCATCTATTAAAGGTAGGGGTGGGCATGGAAATATTCTACAATACAGTGATTGCTTGATCGATTTCCTGACAATGCTTTCTGCTCAAAGTTCCTTTATGACATCCTGAGACAATATGTTTATCGAGTCAGGACAGCTTGTGATGCGCTCCCAACGGGCAAAGAAAACGCGTCTATCTTTATCTCCACTCATTTGCCCGGAATGATGCTTGGGACTTCAACAACCTATGAATCCTTCCTCGCGTCTCATTCCCTGGGTAAATCGTTGACCAATTATTTTTTAAGAAAAAATGAAAATGAAGGCATGAGCCACAGTACGCAGCTTTCGTTTTAGAGAGCGTAGGCACCCTAGTACAATATGGAAGGAAATACAGCGGGATTAGGTCCTCCCTAATCGAGTCGGAGCAATAGTGTTCGAGCGCAAAAAATTGAAGGACACATAGAACCGAACGTTTTTATGTTTCCCTTTTTGGTAGTACAAACTTTCAAGACGCTCAGAAGACAATGTGAAACATTTATGTGTATATGTATATATATACCTTGACGAAGAAGCCGAAACCCAGAGATGGCCAGCTAAAACCTATAGCATGGTAGGTCATTCATTTTCTCTCGCCTCAGAAAGCCCTTTGATGTCCAGGACATCCTGCACACTGTTCAGTACTGCCACTGTATCCACCCGCGGGACTGGTATTTGGGCAGCATACCTCTTCTCGAGCACACCCAACCCGGAGGCGGGACGTCTCGCAATAAACTTCACGACGGCTAAAACAAGCTTGTCGGTTTTGGCTGGATTGCGAAGGGCATGTTCATTATTCCCTGCATGTCTGTGGTGTGGCATCCTGGTGCTGGCGTTGATGTGGCGAGAGATCTTCCGCCGGTAATATGATGGACCGCTGTTGGAGCCCCTGGATCTCCTCCGTTTGGGAAGCTTCATCATTGTAGCCCTATGACCGATATATTTCCCGACGGGCATACTTGAGCGAATGGGTGCACTCGGATGGGTTGCGGCGGGTTTCATTTGTTCTCGAATGCGGTTGCCAGTGTTGGGAGAAGTATGAATAGCCTCAATATCTCTATATATGCAGTGCATAGATATTCCAGATATTTCATTAACTTGAGGCCTGCACCTCTTCCATGATAGTCGTATTGCAAGATTGAGAAGTTCAAGTCGGCGTCAAACGAGGTGTTTTCGACAGCCTACGCAATGGTCCGGTTGGTAACTATGTACGGGAGATCGAACCGCGATCTGGCTCTTTCTGTCAACTTGATCGTCTGAGGTGACTGCTCTTTGGTTGGAGTAGATGAATGTAAGATAAGAGATCGATTCAAAGTGTTGACATCGAGCTTTTGTCCATCTGATGTGCCAGAATTTATCCAATCAATCAGGATATTATGAGATCTTCATCATGCACATCATATATATTGGTTAACAACGAATTAGATATCGTCTTGGCTAAAAAAAAAAAGCCTAGCAGAATCTGACTGACAGTTGAGAGGTGGGTAGATAGATAGATAGCCTGCAATATGGTCCGTTGTATGCCTTGACCCAAAATGAAGAAAATACACCAACCATTGGTTTTGGCCACAATGTTCCCAGAAGCCTTGATGATATGTGCATACTCCCGCACGGAATCATAGAATACCTAAGTCCGATGATGAGTGATGAAACATGGAGGTTGCTGTCTGTTGGTGATTACTACACCTACCCTAGTCACGTGCCACCCCAACCTATCCATTTAGTGTAACTCGCGTAGATAGATTACACACACACAACACAACAACATTATCCTCCAAGAGGTTATGAAGCCCTTCGCAAGCAACAAATAACCACAACAACATGCTAAATTGATATCTCCATGCATCATTACAAGCGTGTCTAGATGATTTATTGAGTGATTGAACCCATGATTAATCTAAGATTCAGGGGGACATCTGACTTAACAAAAGAATACATGCCTTCAAGACAGAGAAACAAGAAAACATCAGAGCAGTAAACACAAGATCACAGATCACTGTTAACATTAATAATGAATCAGAAGACAGCTTCTGAGATGTTTGAGTCAGATAATACAATCATGAAAGAATAATCTGATAAGTTTAATATATATAAAGACTCAATTGAAGATATCAGTGAGATGTCAGATAATATAAAAAGCTTAAATAACTGAAATAACAATAGCTCAGTAAGTGAGAAGACTTATATAAGGCTTAAAATTATAAGACTTCAGTATGAGATTGAGTATGTAAAGATCAGTAAAGATGAGACTCTTATAAGTAATAAGATAAGAGTGAATCTAGTAGAATATCTTCAATGAAAAGAGAAGATATCTATTATAATAAAAGTTCTTGAAGAATTCAGAAGCTAAGTAAGACTTATTAAAAGATTAATAGTTCTCACTGAATTCATTAATTACTCAATGTAAAGAGAGAAAATTCTTTTAACTATAGAGTAGTCTGAAACTGATGATATTCTTAAAAATAATAGTCTTAGTAAGAATATTACTATGAATATATAATATTTCTGAAAAGAATGTAATCTTTGATTATATAATTATATATAATCTACAATTGCTCTGTAGATCAAGACTTATTTCACTATACTTAAAAAGTTTAAATTATCAGCTTATACTTTATAAATTATTATAGAGAATAACTTTTCTGAGAGATCTGTTATACACAGAACTTGTTTATTTAAAAAGCTTATTAAAATAATCTTTAAAAGTAAAGAATCTGACAGAGCTTTCATTGAATATCTGATTGTTATAAGAACTGATTATATCTATCTAGAATATAAGATCTCAGATATTATGTTTTTTAACAGACTGCTTATAGAAGTTAACAGAGATTGAGTCTTATTTATAAGAAATTAAATGAATCAAATTAACAAAAATAATACTTAATTCTTAGAGAATGATTTTATAGATTTGTACTATGATATTCTTTTACAGCTCTCTGCTGTAAATGAAGTAAATACTGATATATCTAGAAATTCTATCAATAACACACAAGATAAGAATAAGAAAGATAAGAATAAAGAGAAAGATAATAATAAGAATAAGAACACTGAATTCAAACCTGAATATAGAGATAATAATATGAGAATCTACTATCATTGTTAAAAGATTAGTTATATTTAGACTGACTATTGAAAGAAATACTCTGAGAAATATTCTTTAAATTTAAATTTCAACATCAATAGAAACAAGAATAAAGACAAGAATATGAAGAATACAGATACTACTTCTATTTACAATGTTATAAAATAAGTATTTTGCATCAAAGAAAAGATCTATATAAGTGACTAGATAGAAAAAGATATCTGAATTCTAGACTCTGAATCAGATACTTATATCACATCTCACAAAGATCTTATCATGATAAAATCTCAGAAGATAAAAGTAATGTTGAAAATAACAGATGAAACAGTGATTTCTGCTGCAGCTATAGAAGATACAAAGATTTCAGTGAAAGAGATGAATATACTGTTAAATAATGTCTGCTATATTCTGAAGTTAGAAGTGAATCTCATAAGTATAAGTAAGCTTATATATCAGAGTTATATCTATAAGCAGTTAATATATGAAAATAATCATACTATGTTGATTATGTCTTCTGACTGCATATTCTCATTTATAACAAGATTAAATAAGAATGATATCTATGAGATGAAAAGATCAGTTATATACAGAGACTTGATCTGATTTACTATACTCAATGATAATTTTAAACCTGTAAACATATTACAGATGAAAGATGATACAATATTAATACTATCTGAAAGAAATGATACAAAGATTATAGAACTTACAATAATGCAATGACATTAAAAGCTAGAATATCTAAATCTCACAGATATTGTAAAAATGACAGTAGATTCATACTTAGAGATGAGAATTATTAATTAATAAGCTTTATCATTCTGCAAAGTCTGTATTCAGATAAAAATAACACATTCAATCTTCATATCTATAACATGAGCTGTTAAACTGATAATGAGATTCTTCATCAATCTGACAGAGAGTGGAAAAACACTTTTCAACAGAAATGACACTTTCACTAGAAGAGATGTAAGCTACTGATTAAGTATAACAGATAATACAATCTATTATAGATAAGTAATTCTTATAATAAGAAAGAGAGAATCTACTGTAAGATTAATAAACTTCATTATAAGTATTGAGATAATTATATAATATCAAGTTGAAATTCTACACTGAAATAATGAAGAAGAGTTCAAAAGTCAAGAACTTAAGACCTACTGTCAGAGTAAAGAAATAATGTATGAAATAACTATATTTGATATATCATAATTAAATGACTCAGCAGAACACATGAATCAAATAGTTGCAGAAAAGATATGAAGTCTACTATTTAATAGTGAATTAGAAAGAGAACTTTGAGATGAAGTAATATAAGCTGCAATTATGATAATTAACATATCTTCAATATTAACAAAGATATTTGAATGTAAGAAAGAAACACTACTTACATCTTTTAAAGTATGAACTGAGATGCAATCTTCTGTTCATTGAATATGAAGATGAGGGTGCAAGGTCTATAAGAAGAATTTGAAAGTGTTGAATAAGCTCACAGATAGAACTGATAGCAGGGAATAACAGCTGATTGAATATCAAGAATTACATTAATATCATGTGTGAGATTCTGTTACACATCATCTTGAGATTGTATAAGATGTCATATTTGATGAAGCTCTTGACATGAGTGTAAATACACCTATAAATATAGTGAGAAAATTCAATGAATTGTCTGATAAATTGAATATTCTGAATATCAGAGAGAAATGACAGTACTGCTTACTATAACATCTAGTAAAGAAAAAGTCAGATGTTTTAAAAATGATTGTAAATGAGAACTTAAAGAGTGTAATTGATTCAATCTATTTTCTAGATAATGAGACATAGCTTGTCATGAATGAAGAGTCTGAAGACTCTGTTAATAAGAATAATTCTGTTCTAAGTATTCTGACAGACTGATCAACTATACTGATAGAAGTCAAGAGAAGCTCAGACTGAGACTATTAACATGAGATAATGAAAAAGAAGATTAAGATATTTAAACAGAAGAAGATATATATTATTGTTGAGAAGGTCTCAGAAATGAATATTCTTACAGATAAATAAGTATATAATCAGAAATTTAATAATAAGAGAGAAATCATTCACTTTAGAGCTCACTGAGTGATTAGAGAGTTCTTGCAACAGCAGAATATTCATTATATAAGATTGTATACTGCAGTGATATCAGAGTCTACATCATACAGTCTATTCACTATATTAACTGTCAAAGAATGAAAGATCAAATCAATTGACTATGTATTCATGTTTTTGAATGATATACTATCACAGAATGAGATGATCTATATACAACTACTCACAGATGTTAAGCACAGCAGAGAGAACTTGATAAAACTACTCTGTCAGAGTCTATATAAAATGAAGCAAGTCATGAGAGTATGATATTTCCTAGCAACAGAACATCTCATCATATTGAAATTCAAGATATCACCTTATAACAGTGAATTTCTATATCACTCTGTTCACAAGATCTATCTGACATTATATATTGATGATTATCAGGTGACAGAATCTCAAAAACAGCAATTAGACTGAGTATTGAGAGAGATTGTAAAGAGATTTGAGACAAAGAATATCAAAGAGATTAAGTCATATCTTGAAATAAAGATTAAATGTCAGAGAAATGACAATCTAGCAGTTACACAGAGCTGTTATATTGAGGAGATTCTTGAAGATTTCAGTATAAATAAGATAAATTCAGCTGACACTCTGATAGCAGCTGATATACAACTGGAATTCTCACCTGATGAGAGAAAGGAATTGAATGATGACTTTACAGCTACAAGATATCATCAAGAATTGAGATTATTGTAATATTTGATCTCAAGCAGCCGGTCAGACCTGGTGTTCATGATCAACTATCTCTCATACTTTAACTTGCATCTGCACAAGGCATGTTGAACAGTGTTGAAGCATGTCCTATGTTATATCAAGAAGATGAAAAACCATGACATATTGTATAAGAAGAAGATAGAAGATGATCTGAGTTCTGTGA